CCCTGCTGGGAATCGAGCCTGCAACCCAGACATGTGCCCTCGACTGGAATCGAACCTGGGACCCTTCAGTCCATAGGCTGACGCTCTATCCACTGAGCCAAAACAGTTGGGGCAAAAGGAGCCATTTTAAGAAGGGCTTCACAACCTGGGTTTTATGCATTTTATCTAGATTAATGGTTCTTAATATTAATTATTTAAAAATATCATTGATTTTTATTTTTTTAAAAGATATATTTTTATTGATTTCAGGGAGGAAGGGAGAGGGAGAGAGAGAGAGAAACATCAATGGCAAGAGAGAATCATTGATTGGCTGCCTCCTGCACACCCCACACTGAGGACTGAGCCCACAACCCAGACATGTGCCCTGAGCAGTAATCAAACAAACCATGACCTCCTGGTTCATATGTCAACGCTCAACTACTGGCTGGGCTGTTGTGTGTGTGTGTGTTTGTGTGTTTCGAGAGAGGAAGGGAAAGGGGGAAAGAAAGAGAAACACAGAAGTGAGAGGGGAACATCCATTGCAGGCTGCCTCCTGCACGTTCCCTACCAGGAACTGACTTTGCAACCCGGGCATGTGCCCTGACGGGGTATTGAACCAGCAACCTTTTGGTGCATGGGACAATGCCCAACCAACTGAGCCATACTGGCCAGGGCTTAATATCAATTATTAATGCAAAATTTAAAATTATAGAATTCTCCCATACAACAAGAATGTACTTTTTAGTATTAACTAATAAGTAAAAGTTACTATAAGTTAACTGGATTATTTTATTATTCACAATATTTATATTTTTTAAAGTATGATTACATGCAAACCGGTATATAAGCAATGCGTCTGTGTGTGTGTGTGTGTGTGTGTGTGTGTGTGTGTTTTTCAAAGACCCAGCCTACTATGTGGGAATCACTGTCATGTACCTAAGTGGGCAGCCCAGGCAGAGGGAACAGCATGTTCCCTGAGAAGGAAAAAAACCTTGGTTCATGGGAAGATGTGACAGGAAGGCAATGGATGGAATATAGTGAGCAATGTGGAAAGTAGCACGAGGGAAAGGCAGGGACAGATTATAACGGAACCTTGAAGGCCATTTTATGAAGTTTAGATTCTATCTGAAATAGTACAAGATCCCCCAATAACAGCATAATTAAATTAACTGATATATCAGCAACTGAAGAAACAAACTTGAGAACAACACAGTATGATCCCATTTATATTAAAAACCCTGTATATTTATGGACGCATTTATAGTTGACCCTTGAACAGCACAGGTTTGAACTGTGCAGGTCCACTTATATGCAGATTTTTTCCAATAAATATACAGCTGGCCTTCCATATCCCTGGATTTCACATCCACGGATTTAACCAACCAAAAGAGTATTTTCAATTCATGATTAGGAATCTACAGATGTGGAGGGCTGACTATATGCACTGTCTATGCCATTTTATATCAGAAACCTGAGCATCCTTGGATTCTGGTATCCATGGGAATCCTGGAATCCCCTACAAATACCAAGGGAAAATT